CACAGGCGGACGGAACTGTGCGGAGGCCAACAGCACTCAGCACGTCACGAAGAGCACTTTGAACTACGGACGTTCATCAACAGCTGTCTTCGCTGAGTACTCAAAATCAGATGGCCATAAAAGGTCACCAACAGGGATCTCTGGGAGCAAACCAGCCCAGCAGGAACCAATTATGCAACAAATATGCAGGGAGAAATGGAGGCAGGTTGGTCATACTCTGAGGAAACCATCAAGTGACATCACATGACAGGCTATTGCTTGAGTGTAACTCTGGCAATTTACTAGCCACGGACCTATTTCCCATTAAACACCCCGATGAATATTAATGTGGATTGGTACACGCAGAGGACCATTGAGTGATACCACTCATCAGGCAGACACTCGCGTGGAAGTCGAATGGGAAACGAAGAGATGGGCGTGTGTACGAATTTCAACAAAGAGGGCACCGTGTGAGGAGGATGAGGAAATGAAAGCCTGTGAACAGTAGTGGAACCAGCTGAAAAGCGACCACAGAGAAGGAGGAGAATTGAAGATATGCAGCTGAGGCACTCTTCCAGCAGTAACCCAAGTGACAAATGGTAACATAGTAGCAATATATAAATTTAAAATAAGATTGTTTGTTAGAATATTTGAGCAAAAGTCAGCCTATTAAATGATGATACCACATTCAGTTTAGCTGCTTAAGCCAGGGTCAACACGACATGACCAGCATCCGGGACTTGTAGTCTAAAAGTTGAGTGCTTGAACTAGGATAATTCATTTTTTAAAATTCTACTTCACAAGAGCGAACTAAACCTATGGCTACAACGAATTCTCAGAAGCTCATTGTTACTTTACAACTACCTGTGATAGTGGACCGCACCTTCTGTGTGTAGGAATAAACGGCACTACTTGGCTACCGCAACTTCGTCATTTGCAGCCAGGTCTAAATTAGCGACCCGCTGGCTACTTATACCGATGGTCTGATAACTTACAATTAATTGGATGTTATATTCTCAACAAGTAACTGAAGTGTCCAGAACTAGCCTGGTGACCTGAAGGTCTTTAGTTCGTGGACGAGCACTGCTAAAGAACACCATAATGGGATAAATCAGAGCTGAGTCAGTGCTCTGTGTTTCCCAGTGTTTCTCTGACTAATTACGATTCGTGGAGAAATCAACACTGTGAATTAGTTCAAATGTGTACTAACTAACACCTACAAAATTTATCAAGTATTGTTTTACAGGCATTTGATTAGTTACATGTTCGGTCACAAGCCGACACCAGCTAGAGAACAGTCGGAGTACTGAGTGGTTCTCTAGTCCTAGTTTAATACACCTCATCAGTAAGCGTTCACCAATAACGATTGAATCCAGGACCATTCAGTTATATGGTGAGCCTGTAGGCCATTCAGCCACTGAGACCGAATCCGGTGGCACATCAATTCCAACTTCCGCTAATTCTCAATATGCATGGCTTAATCGACAGCCAGCAACAGCAGTTATCAACTGTTCCACCACTCAACTCAGTGTGCCCAACTGGTCACGAGTTCTCACTAGGACCCCAGGTAAGTTCCTGTATACAGCCATTTAGAAGTAAGCGCAAAATCAGTTTAAATTGTTGATTTATTGGGATTCAACTGGTTACAGGTTCGAAGAACTGGCACCAAACAGAAAGAAGTCATTCTCCAACGAAAGCCTTAACTATAAAGGACAAGCTTGGTGCTCACAGTTCACCTTATAAATATAGATTAGCGCACAGACAAAAGACGTCTGTTTCATAGTTGAATCACTTGTAGGCCATCTTAACAGGCCTGATTGCATAACCCTATGTACTGCTGATTGATTGTTGCGAGTAGTTGGATTCCATCCTCGTCAATCAGTACTGCCTGCTGGCCAGATTGAGATGAGCCAGACACCGGAAGGTTTTTATTCTCTTTCGATGCCGAGCTCATCAGCGATGCAAACATTTCTGCTCAGCTAACGGACCGAACAATCTTAATAACTAAGAAGAATGATTCACCATGAAACTTCCATTTTTGACAAGTTCTGAAGGCCATAAGGTTACAAGAAGCATGTAGCGCTAAATAATTCCCCAAAATTATTAACCACAGCAATCATCATTCAACATTGGATGCTGACCATCACTGTTTAAGTCGACTTGTTTAGCTGAAGGCTTCCGGTCAAGCATCCCCGCCATTTGATACTCCGTCGTGTCACGTGCGTGCGCGATTACTAGCTAGCTAAGCATTCACTTCTACCCGCGATTTGGTCCCGAAATATATCTCGTATTTGGACGACAAGATCTGGTCTTTTGCTTTATCTTTGGTACTCGAAGAACGAACACTATAGAAGTTGTCGGTATAAGACCTTGCGTTAGTATAATCCGTACAACTCGCGAACGTCGATACCCGCAATCCCTAAAAGCTTATAAAGCAAAAAACGTGACGGAATCCGCCTTTAGAAAGTGTGCTTGCGCTGGACAGATGAAAACATCATAGAAGATTTGGATTTCGTAGATGACTTATATCTCATGTTACAGAAAATCGGGAATACACAAGAGGCAACCAGAGAGCTAGCAGAATAAGCAGACAAGAAAGAACTTAAAGAGAGCATGGAGATGACAGAATTGATGAAGATACTCAACCAACAACAAGCACCAATCATCAACAGTGGGAGAAATCTTTGGTATGTTTCCGCCTCCCACTTACCTGATCTAGGCAGCATTTTTTCGCTATATGCAATGTGGACGAGGATGTGAAAGCCATAAAAGACAGTTTATTCGCTTATTACTCTGAGATCAGCGTATAGATCCATGACACCGCTGTGCGTGGGTGGCACAGCGGTTAGGACTCTCGCCGATCATGCACATGGTCCGAGGTTCGATCCCCCGCAGACGCACACCTGATATCTATGGTTGGCCTGCTAAATTTGGGCTACCGATATCACACGCTGAAAATTTCATACTTGTACCAAAATACTGTGTGGAACCAAGCTATAAGAAAATCAAAATTTCTAACATTCATGTCAAGTCAGTCAGTGCTGTCATACAGTTCAGAGAAATACAATGATACTGAAAGCATTTCTCATAAGTTAATGACCACTGTAATCAACATCTGTCCCTTTCGTTTGAAACTAAAGATTGAAGGTCCGGAAAGGATAAGCAACAAGGAACTCTGGTGGGCAGTGGACCTGTCAGAAACATATTGCCTATTGGCCTAAAAACACCTAGTGTGTGGCTGACATTCACCACTGTGACCCACCAGTTTAAGTCCAGGATCCAACTTTCTCTCCATTGATTTCAGTCCGGAAAACTCAATAGTGTCACCAGCCTTCAATGTCTGGCTCATAGCCATCCACATGAAAAATCCGAACCGGTTTTAACAGAGTGCAAACGAAACAAAACACACTTTGTTATTTTCCCATATTCACTTGTTGAATAGAAGGCTGTTTATATCTGTAGAAGAATGAATTCATCCTATGGACACTTCATAAACAGCACTAAGATTTTACATTCTACTAGGCAGTAAATCTCCCTTTCTCTGCGGAGTGATTTTAACAAATCTCAAGGTAGAGATGTCATTACGATGAATACTGACAAAGGATGCGTAGTGTAAATATTGCTGATCAACCCCTGATTTCTGATATTTAATACCATTCATCGAAGGAGACATTGCGAAGTGGTTACGCTATGTCATGAATTGGCAGAAGTTAGAATTCATAGGCTGGTCATAGGATAGGGTCCCAGTGACATAATGGTCTACGGACTCGCTAGCCTTGTAACGAGAAGGTCCTGGGTTTGAGTCCCGGTGGGTGCTCACTGATGAAGAGCACCAAACTAGGTTTTCCAGTGGTTCTCTAAATGTTGTCAGCTCATGATGATGAAATCCTCCAAACAACTTCTTTTTTATATCAACAACTTGTAATGTACACAATTTTAGTGGTAAAATTTTCACCACACAGTTTCTTTTATATAAGCGAATTTATTATTCAGATCACAATGTGTGCATGATCTGCTTGATATCATAAAAAATGATCGAGAAAGTAAGTAAGCATAAATGCGTAAAGCCACATACTACTTATTAGTCGATACGAGTAGTGGATACCACTCCTCCTAGTGATTTGAATGGAATCAGCTCTCTCCTAGCTGAGGTAAATCGTGTAGACCACTGATAGGCTGAACCCTAAACAAGCGAAACGACCATCTACACGTGTTTAGGTCACCCAGCAAGATCTGGCTAGTAAGCAAGCACTACTGCTTAAATACAACTACTCACCTCAACCAATTAGTAGCATATATATATATATACATAGTGTTACTGCAAACCTTCATCAACAGCTGCCTACTTTATTGAGTCAATACTGAAGTCCTGATGACCAATCAGAAAGCATTTGGCAACAAGAAACTCTTGCTGTGCAAAGAGCCCATGGGAATGAATGGAGAAATGGATACGACACACACACACGGTGGGTAGACCGTTTGAATGACATCGAGAGACAAGCAGATTCTCGAGTAGAAAATCCGAATGCGAAATGACAAGTCGACCGGAGGGGGGGATGGAAGACTAATGGGCAAATCGTAAAGACAGCGAAAAAAAGGGAACTGCAGAGGAGGAGGAGGAGGAACATTCTATTCCATTCCAAATCTCATCTCAGTAACTTTTCTGCTAGTGTTTTTCATCCTAAAAACAAACAATTCATTTGTAACAAGTGCGTCGGTGGTATAGTGGTTAGGGAGCTCGCCGACTATGCACATGGTCCGGGGTTCGATCCCCTGCCAACGCACTCCTTTACCCCGCTAAGCCAGAAATAATGCTGGTGAAGAGAAAAGGTTGGGCATGGGGCTAGCAACCCCATCCTGTAAAATAAACACTGCTACAGAAACTTCAAGCCACTAGCTTGAAGCCCTATGTTCCACTGGGAAGCGTGGAGGAAAGGAAAACAAAACAAATTTGTAACAAAATCTCTTCAATACAAAAAAAGGTTCAATGCTTGTTTTAGAGAAAAATACCAACGGTTCTGAATAATAATAATAATAGTATTAAAAAGGCTCTAACGAAAATAGAATAAAAAGGAAACCGGAAAAATATAATAACATGAATAAGTTATCGAAACAGTAGGCAGGCACATCATTCAACACTTTATACAACAGCGTCTATTGCTTCATTCATCATTCATTATTCCGCATAATAGTCACTTTGTCCAAAGATATCCTATGATGTCTTGCATCCACACTAGCTACTATGGCTTTGATTCGATCGCCTAAACGTAAAGTGAACATAGTTTGTGCTTCACTAGAACCACCACCAGCATAGTAGTAGTCATAGACAATAATTTGGACGGTTTCATCATGTCACCGCCACTTCCACCTCGAGGGTATGCATGTCGTGGAATATAGGCATTCTCTTCCACGCCGATATCACAGAATGCACCAAATGTTGTCACATTTTCTATTCGACCACTGACTTGCATACCTTTGCGTAGATCTGATATTTTCATGACAGATGAGTGGAATAATGGTGTGAAGCAATCTGTAAAAAATGATCAGAGAGAAAAACAAACATGTACGATCAGTTGAGACAACGAAATTTAAACAATTTATGAGTGAACAATCACTAAAAAGTTCCAAAAGAAAATATCTACAAATCTTAAACAGAGATAAAGGTCTGTTAGGTGGTTGGAGATATTTGGGCGAAAGAATTCCTTTTTTTTCCTTCGGGTTCCCAGTGAAACATAGAGCTTCAAGTTAGTGGCTTGAAGTTTCTGAAGTAGTGTTTATTTTTACAGGATGCCCAACCTTTAATAATAATAATAATTTGCTTTATTCCAAAACAGTACTTGTGATACAGAATGGAATTCTCAGCATTTTTACTACAGTATTGCATCCAGTTAGTACATTATCAATAAATAGAATTCTACATAGATTAAGGAAATCTCAGTTCATTATGACAACAACATATTGGCATGTCGGTAGCAAAGCCAAAGCTGAAACAGTGTTTGAAGGTGTTAGAAAAGTAGGTAAGAAAGAAACAAAGCAGCACATAACGAAAAAAACCCTTTCCGGCTTAGTTAGGTTAAGGAGTGCGTCGGCTGGGGATCGAACCACGAACCATGTGCATGGTCGGCGAGCATCCTAACTACTGTTCCACCGACGCACTGAAAGAATTCCTACGTTTACATTATGTAGTTTACAAGAAGCGAGATAAGTCATCCTGTGATAATTCACCGAGGAATTAGCTTGACTAATATAGTATCTAAAGTTATAGGTTCAATAATCATGCGTAGTATAGGTGGTAGTCGAAAGAAACAACTACGAGAAAATCAGCTAGGATTTAGAACAGGAAGAAGGTGTATTGTGTTCATATCTTCAGCCATCCTTCGACAGATTCTGGAACATAGGCATGCTTACCATCGGCGTCCAACAATCGTCATATTTCTTGACCTGAAAGCGGCATTAGATTCCGTCGACCGAGACGTACCACAGCGATGTTTGACTGTGAAGGGAATGCCGAGAAAATACATTGCACTGATCAAGGTACTCTACTGGAATTCATGCAGCCAGCCAGATGAGAGCTTACGGCGAGTTGTCATTTGAACTGGTGACAACTAGTGGTGTCCGACAGGGATGCTCACTGTCCGCATTTCTATTCAATTTCATTATAGATGTACTAATGGACTTAACCCTAAGTGACTTCAGCGACTCAGATATTGACTTGTTACCAGGGGTGATATAGTTCTCCTTCTAGATGAGGAGGCTAGAAATAATGCAGTCTTCAGAACACCTTGAAGAGCAGCAATCTTCGCATGTTTGGCATGCGATTCGCTCCCGTCAAATGTAAGAGGATGCTACAGGACTGGACTGCATTGACTCACTTCTAGCTTAGAAATAAGGAGTGAAGTGGTTGAGCGTGTTGACCGCTTCACTTATTTGAGAAGACGTATCTGTCTCAACGAGCTGATTCCTGACGACATCTCAGCACGGATACAAGTGGCTCGCGTGGCATTTGCCCACACACGTCATTACCGGTGTAGACGTGATATCCAGCTGGCTATCAATCAAAGGACGTGTGTAATACTCGGCAGTTCGCTTCGTCCTCCTTTATGGCAGTGAGTGAGACAAGGCCATTGAAAAGGCTAGTTTTATTTGACCCCACATTTGTGGCCGATTATAAATTGTAGTTAAGCGTCAAGTGTTACGTGAGCAGAGTAAGTCGATCGATGAGATTAGGAAATTACACCGGTGCAGATGACTACGACATGTGTTACGTACACCTACTTATCGCCTTCCTCAAAGGGCAATGCTAGCTGACAGATGGGAGGTGTAGACTCCCTGGTTGAAGTCTTCGTGATGTTAAGAACCACTAGCTGGAGACCATAAGTGATATGGCTCGAAATTGTTCTCAATGGAGCAGATGCACTGACTTTTCGTGATTACCCATAGCCATTAAATCCACTGAAATTCGAACTGAGGACCTTTTGGTTAATAGCCAAGATCGTAGACCATTCAACCACTGGGACCTTATCCAATGGTCCAGGAATTCTAACTTCACCAATACGTGATTTTATGGAGATCACCTTGTAATCAGAAGTCCTCGGTTGGAACCCCAGTGGATGCGTACTGCCAATGAATTCCAAACTAGGACAAAACAGCTGACTGTCCAGTACTCCCTGCCTGTTTTCACTGATTCTCTAACCGATAACAATCCCTACAAACTAACCCTTGAAAATAAAAACATATTGCCTACTTATATATTAATCAGTAGTTGAAATATTTCTGCAAAAAATATATGAGAAATACTACATACCTTGACGTTCATCAAAATCCAAAGGACGTGTAAGCGCTTCAACAATATCACGCAATGTATCCAATCCAACAGTTTTAGTGCAGAATGATTCAAGTCGTTTATCTCCTTTTGAATAAGAATCAGAAAAATACATTTATAGTAATAATAACAACAACTAATAACTTCCTTCTCACACATTCCTAGAATTTTGTATTCATGAATATTATCTATACAATTGATATAATGAAAAGGCAGAAGTAAAATTCGTTACAACGAGAAAAACCATAGCGAAGACTTAGTTACATTACTGAGTTAGAACTCGATTACAGGGAGCAAGGGGATGGGGTTGGGGGAAGATGTCAAAGTCAGGCAGGATCAGAAAACACAAGAAAGACACCATTTCGTTGCTCCACAATCAATGATATAGGATTCTACTACACTCAGGATAATGAACATGATCCGGATTTTCAAAATCAACATCGAATCATTCGCTGTTTCTACACAGTTTACAGATACTTAGAGCATCACCTGAAGCTGAAAACTTTTATCAACAGCCTGTCCAAGTAAAAATAGATCTGACGTACACGTTGCGGAGACCTTCTACCCTTCTAGCAGAAGTTGAATGAGAAACGATGAGTTGAGCGAGAGTCCAAGGGTGATCCGTGTAAGGAGAAGATGAAACTTCATGGGAAATCTTAAAGCCAGGTTAAAGAGGAACACGGAGGACAGGATGAAATGGAAACGTGCTGCTGGAGCCGTATGTCCCACTCACAACCAACCAAGTTGCCGAAAATCCAAATTCTGTTAATGATAATGATTGTAGCAAATCTCCACAGACTTCAGAGTGATCAGTGTCTGCCTTGCCTTCCCGATTCTGGATGCCTTCGAATTCCTCATCCATGACGCCCGCCTATAGTCGGAACGATGCTGCCTGATCAGAAAAGTGAAGGAAGTGACCTCTTTCAAATTTCTCCGGTTGGCAGGGCTTGGTGTTGTTGGTCACCGAGGATTTTCATCACCTCTATCTTGTCTATGTTCACTTGAAGCGTCATCTTCTGCAGTCAACTTGTCGGTTTCCACCTGTAGATCTCCGAGTTTATGTGACATCAGATAAAAGTCATTAGCACAAATTCCCAACCTTCTACAGTCTTTTTGTCGATCTACCGTATTCCTGTCTTCTGCATAATCCAGTCCACCACAGTCACGAATATCGTTGGTGATAGATGGTAGAAAGCCATATCTTATTCATGTCTCCACTTCAAAGGCTTCGCTGAGTTTTTCTTTGTGGATCACCTGACATGTTGCCTTGTCATATAGCGCCTAGATTCACACAGCAGCGACTATAGCTTGGCAATATGTAGTACAATTGACTTCCCTTTCACCTCAGCCAATAATCTCTTTGAAAATACGATAATATTTAAACTGTTACTGTTCTTGAATAGAACAGACACCAATTTTTATTCATTGTAGGTTATTTCGCATATCTATAGAGGCTTTCGTGGCCTTTGGCTTTTGAAACCATAGGAGTGCTTCAGAGGCAACAGTATCCACTCATTGGGGGGGGGGACGAGGATGGATACAGGTACACTCAGACGACGAGTTCCGGATAAGGCGAAATGTACATCCTCGATTCTACTGTTTGTCCCTATCAACTAATCAATGAAATAATTACAAACTGATGTATCGAGAAATCTTGTCTAGTTTAATAGTTCTCTAGTTTTCTAACCTGTCCTAACTGAAGTAAAAGATGAAAGACTGAGCGCGTGGGACTAGCAATTCTACCCGAGAAATGAATCCAATCGCTACAGAAACTTCAAAGTGCGACACAAAAATATAATAGACAAACTTATTCCTCGCTGGTATCGGAGAGACAGAATGACATGGGCTAAGGTCAGCCTTTGGAAAACCAGTCAGCTAATGTGTCTCTTTTCGATCAGAAGCAAAATTAAGGATCGCGACGTGGAATGTTCACACAATGCATGAAGCCTGGAAGTCTGTCAAGGTTAAAAAAAGGTCACTTCCTTCAATTATCTATTCCGGTGGTTACTTCTCAGTGAGAACTTAGTACTTAAAGCTATCCCAACACCAGCTAATCCTCGTGAGCTAGCCGTCGCATCTCCTGACACCCTCAAGGTGAATTTTGCAGATTCATCCTGTTGGCCAGGTGGGGTTAGGTGAATAACAACACTTGGGTCTTGTATGCGTGTTTCTGAAACACAACATACATCAATGGCTCGGGATGCCAGAGTCTTGGCTAGTGATGCTTGTTGTCCTATTTGGAAAAGTGTCCTAACATTAAATGCTCCTATATAAAATTGGTGGCGTGGTTTTAGGAGACCATCGGTGGTGGCTTTTTGGCTTCCATCGTTATCAGTGCACACAGAGTGAAGAGGGAGTGAAGAGCCAACAAGTAGAGGGGTTGCATTGGTAGAAGTAAGGCAAGATAATAGAGATGAAGATGAAGACAAAGATGAGCGAGGATTAGAGAGGTTTCGCGTGCACTTCGGATTGTGAGGGCGATTGTTACTTCTCGGCTGCCCACACCGTGGAAGTTGGTTGCGTGACCGCAGAGCCCAGGGGACAACTGCTTGAGGCCGGTCACACACGGCCTGCTTTTGTTTGTTCTTTTTTATTTGGCGTGTCTCAGTAGCTTATTTATCACTTCTGCCCTGTGACACGGCAGCAGAAAGCGCGGTCGTTGTTAATCCGGGCCCCGACCGATCCGGCATCATATTTTGTGATTTATTTGAAATCATAGGATTGGATTGGGTAACTGCTTTTAGTCTAACTGCTATCCAAACAACCTTTCTGGCATGGTAGGACCTGCAGGAACATAAGTTCCAGCCAGTATAGCTTGTTGGGTCATTACGGTGTTCAAGCCCGACCACCACGTCAAGGTAGCAGCTTTCGGTCGGGCGTGTGTACTGCTCAACAGTCCGCTCCGTCCTCCTTTATGGCTGTGAGACCTGGCCATTGAGAGCAGAAGACATGAAAAGATTAGCTGTCTTCGATCATAGGTGTCTGCGTTCTATCTCCCGCGTGAAGTGGTATAATAAGGTGAGCAATATTGAGGTTAGGCGTCGAGTGCTAGGTAAGGCGGGGAAATCAGTCGACGAAACGGTGAAATTACTTCGACTGAGATGGTTAGGACATGTGCTACGTATGCCTAGTCATCGCCTTCCTCGACAATGGGCAATGTTAGCTGATATAGGGCCAGGCTGGAAAAAAGCTAGCGGCGGTCAAACGAAAACATGGCACCAATCAATGAAATCCACAACAGTTAATCTAAGCCATGTAGGAAGATGTAGACTTCCTGGTTGGGGTCCTCGGGATGGTAAAACCAATGGTTGGAAACAATTGGTGACATGGCTCAAAATCGTTCTCAGTGGCGCAGATGCATCCACTCCTTGTGACTTATGATTTCCAATTAAACTGTTTTGTTCTCCGTTATTACTATTCCTTTGTCTCACACCTCTGTTTACTGTCTGTATTATGCATTTCTTCTACTTCCTTCTCTTGCTTTGCGTGCTACACAGATTGTGGCGACTTGAACTGCCGCACATATGTGCAAAGTTCTATGTCGAAAACCGACCGACCGACCGATCTCAGTGAGACTGTTCTCAAATGAATAACTTTTTATCAAAAAAAATAGTCAGTGGTCCTCGTCAAATGGTCAGAGCTTAATTCCTCCAAATATCAGGTGGTGGGTAATTTCATCTTCAGACGCGCAAGCTCGACTTACCTGAACTGGTTAGTTCTCACGGTTCCACTATCATAGATGGCCCTGGATGATAAATACCTTGGATTGTGTATTTCCCCTGATCTTTCCTGATCTTCCTAAATCATCTTTTGAGTTTCCAGAAATATATTTCATTTGAAGTTCTATGTAAGGAAGTTGAAACGATCTGGTATCATGCCGTCTCTATTGTTACCGTTTGTTAATTCTTGTATTCTCCCTATACTTCTTTACTGTTCCCCCACCCCCACCCTAATCTTTCCTGGGCTACTTGAGAAAGACTTTGTTTTACTGCTTAGGGGGCCTAGAAGCCCTTAGTAGGGCGAGGGGGTTGGTGCTAAACCAACTCGTTAATACTATTGTAGACAATAGACACTTGGATTCCTGCAAAAAAATTAGCGAATATTATTCTGTCAGACTCTGGACACCCTCTCTCCTTGCATCTACCTCATCGAGGAGAATTAGACGCAACAACTATAGAAGACTGTATGCTCGGACGACTAAGTCAAAAAAACACCTCTACAATACCTTATTTAGTAGACACACATTATATATGTGATGAGAAAAGTGTGTAAGACAGGAAATTAGTAACTTATTGAGGAACTCTAAGCAGAACGCTATTTCTGGATGTCAAAACCAGTCAGGATCGGCACGACAAGGCTGACCTTCGCTACTCCGAAACCATTTTGAAAATCTGCTGTACTCATTCAGCATACAGAACAAAGTACAGACTTTCCATACTAATGTGAAATCAGTCATTTCTTCTAGAAGGAATGAAAAATTTAGCGCACGCATCACAAAAATCATCTCCAACAGACTACTGCAGACTTTTATCAACAGCTGCCCACTTCGATGGCTCTGAAACATGGCCAATACGAGTTGAAGACATGAAAAGGTTGACTGTTTTTGATCATAGATGTCTACGATCTCTTTCTCACGTTAGGTGGCATAATAAGGTAAGTAATGTTGACGTTAGGCGTTGAGTGTTGGGCAAAGAGGGAAAATCAATCGAAGAGGCTATAAAGTTACATAGATTGAGATGGCTAGGTCACGTGCTGCGCATGCCTAACCATCGCCTCCCCCGCCCGACGGGCATTACTAGCTGATATAGGTGCAGGTTGGAAAAGAGTAAGTGGTGGCCAAACAAAAACATGGCCTCATCAATCCATGAAATCCCTGGCAGTTAAACTGAGTCAGGTAGGGAGGGAGATGCAGACTTCCGGGTTGGGGCCCGCCCTCGGGACTCTAAGAATCAATGAAGGCTGGAGACAATAGGTGACATGGCTCAAAATCGTTGTCAATGGTTTACGCAGATGTATTCAGTCTCTGTAATCTTTCATATTCCTTTCTACCATTACTCATTCTGTTTCACTCCTATACTTTTCAAAACTCTATTGATTCTCTTCACTCATCTTCTTGTATATTTTTGTGTGCTATTTGGAACGTGGCAATTCGAACTGCTGCACTTCGGTGCCAAGTTCTATGTTGAATCCAGCCAGCCAGATGGCGCCCTATTTACTGAAGAGATCAAATTGACCGGCTGGCCAGAAAAAAATTAACAACAAGAAACTATGGGAGTGAACCGATGTCAAGAAGCTGTCGTTCAACAAATATTCCGAAGAAAGCGGAGATGGATTGGACACACATACTGAGGAGACCGTCGAGTGACACCGTATGTGCCAGGCCATCGTTCGAATGGAACCCGAATGTGAAACAATCAGTTGGGCGTAACTCCAAGGTTGACATGGAGGCGATGAGAGTTTATGGGTAACCATGGGGCCAGCCAAAGGGGACTTTAGAGAACAAGGTTAACATGGAGATGTGTTGGTGAAGTACTATATATTCCAATCGGGATCACAGGGAATAATAATAATAATAAGTGTGTTGAGGAAATATTGAAATATTTCAAACTTACGATCAGCACTTAGCATAAATTGAGTTGCAGCTGCTCTTAGCGTTGCTGATCCAACATCTGTCAGTTGACAGTGAAGCATTGAAATGATACTGAAACAGGAAGACAGACACAAAAAGAAAAAAACAAAACAATAAGCACTGTGGAAAAGTCTACCTATAACAGTAACACTGTACTATGCAGTGGTTCATGATTGAAGGCGAACAAGGGATTCCAAGTCCACAGGTGGAGGCAGTCCGAATTATCGGCCAGCCCATAAAAAAAACTCTACTTCCAAATCAACTCCGACAGACAGAGCTAGGGGGTTAATATTTTTGGAGACAGTTGGTTCAGAGTTTGCTATAACCTCAATTTCCTGTTCCACTTTTAGTCACATCATTATATCGACTAGAAAGGGCTTTTTTAAGGTGTCGAGAGTTACACACATAGATCCTTCTTACTTTAGGCAATAAAAATAGGGCAGGAAGACACTAATGAACTCAGAAAGAGACATAACGCACTTGACGGTACAACTAGATTTTCGGCAACAGTAAAGAATAGAAACCAACTACCAACGACCTTGAAACAACCAATCAGATATTTTTTCAGTTAAAAAGTGGCATAAAATTTAAGAAAACTGTATTTATAACATATATGTGGAATAAAAATTAATTATACAGGATACATGTCTCTAATATACTGCAAAAACTGGTCTCAGTTTCTCATAGGAGTAGTTATAGACATATTAAACCACTGTCGATACAAAAACTCTAAATGGCTATTTGATTATATTTTATTATTATTATTGTTTCCTTCAATTCCTAGAGGAACATAGGGCTTCAGCCGTGCGTCTTCATTGCGTTTGGTTCTCTGCTAGAGTTTTTACCTGGCTTCATGTCTGTCCACACGTTTTCATCTCCTCTTCACATGACCTCCTCCAAGTCACCCTTGGACGACCAACTCGCCGCTTTGCCAATCTCATACATGGTGAGGACATTCCATGTCCCCACACAGACTTTTCTTTAGGGGCAAAGGGATTCGTCGTGCTGAAGTTTCTGTAGCAGCTTTGTTTACAGGGTGGGGTTGCTAGACTCACGCGAAAGGGAGAGAAAAAAGGTTAGTGTTGCGTGACCGCAGAGCCCAGGGGACAACTGCTTGAGGCCGGTCACACGCGGCCTGTTTTTGTTTGTTCTTTCTTATTTGGTGTGTCTCAGTAGCATATTTATCACTTCTGCCCTGTGACAGCAGAAGGAAGCGCGGTCGTTGTTAATCCGGGCCCCGACCGATCCGGCATGATATTTTGTGAGTTTGTTTGAATCATAGTATTGGATTGGGTAGCTGCTTTTTGTCTAACCGCTATCCAAACAACCTTTCTGGCATGGTAGGACCTACAGGAACATAAGTTCCAGCCAGTGTAGCTCGTTGGGTCATTGCGATATGCAAGCCCGACCACCACGTCAAGGTAGCAGCTATCGGTCGGGCTATACCATGGCTATATATACCATATCACTTCGAGAACCGCTTACCATTCTGATACGTTTTTTGAAGTGAGCCCAAAATCTTTCAATGGAATTTGTATGTGTTCCTGTTACAGGATCCACCAGTTCAGAAGAATGGTTGAGACTTTGTAGTGAATATAGCCTAGTGATGATAATTGAGAATAACCTCTCCATTCGTCTGTGTGAATAGTAGTTCCTGGAAGGACTAGTCATTATATAATTGGTATTAACATATCAGCACTTCTGTTCGGCATGCGTTCCACAAAGCCTTTACGAAGATTTATGTCGTAAAATCCCAGCGGCCAAACATGATTCGCTCTACTCCTGCCCCGATTCATTTTTCGCTTAATAAGTACAGTTTCGTCAATATGTACGACGACGCCAACTCCTCCAAGTACAGAGGTGATCCCATTTTGCTTTTGTGACGCAATATCACGGCAGTACTGATATCACTGCATTGTTGAAATCTTTGTATTCTCCGTTTTTGCAGCTGTAGCAACTACTGGAAGCTTTAGTAGCCAGTTGTGGTATATACGCAATATTTTACTAAAGGACAGTTTCGATTTGGAGAAGAAAGTATCTAAAAAATCACCATAATGTACGACTTACCAACTCGAACAGATTTCCTCATGTAACAGTTTTTGTTTCCTTCACGTTCCCCAGTGGAACATAGGCCTCCAAGCTAGAGGCTTGAAGTTTCTCTAGCAGTGGTGATTACTTTTACAGGATGGGGTTGCTAGCCTCATGTCCAACCTTTCCTCTTCACCAGCATTATTTCTGGCTTAGCGAGGTAAAGGAGTGCGCCGGTCGGGGATCGAACGCCGGACCATGTGCATGGTCGGCGAGCGTCCTAACCGCTATGCCACCGACGCACCATGTAACAGTGGTTCCATCTAAATGCGTAGCCGTCATTAGCCCAGCAATACTTCTCTACCGTCATTATCCCTCTTCATATGCAGGTTTTAGACCTTCCTATCAACTCATTTTCCACACAGAAGTCAAAAAACTAAATCTGGGTAAAACTTGCAACGAAGTTCATGAACCGAATCCATTATGAGTGGTGAAAGATCTGATTGGTCGTTTCAAGGTCATTTGACTTGGATATTCCAGAACTATACATCAGACTCTCAGCCAAACCGATACTGACATAGCGCAGTAAAGATAAATTACCTAAGATGACCACATCAATGCGTGTATACAGATTCAACTGCTCATATAATCAGCTAGCTATATAGGTTGAATCTCTCAGACGCTCGTCAACATGTTCCTGTTTGGCTTGGAAGAAATGTAACCAAATCAATAAATATTGCCACTTTGTCTCGTCTAGTAGATAGTGAACATCACATCAGAACAGATGAGTGATTTGCGGGTGTATATCGAGGAACAGAGAATCTGCCTAAATGCGCACGATTACATCTCTCAGCGGAAGCTATTGAGAATAATTAGAAAAAACAGTGCCTTTATGTAGAAAAGAAGCACATTCATTCTCTCTTTGTTCACCCTGGCCTACTATAAGGACATCAGAGACATCATCATCCATATTTTCATGTCATATTATCGCCTTCTTATTCCTTTTCACCTAGTTCACTTTACTCCATTATTACTTCTTTATATTATGTGTCAACCTTTTGTAATTTACACTAAGCAGCTTATTATGTCTCTAGTATTTTATTACAGTTCACAGTTTAACCTCTTTATTTTATCACTACGCCTGATATATGTCAGCCCTTGCTTGAACTTACATTCACTTCAATGTACCCCAGTTTTTGATATTTCTTTGTATATATCTTGTGGTGATTATTTTCCCTCGCACCATTGAATATAACTCACCCCCGCCCACCCTAAATGAAACCTATATGCTGTTGACTATTAAATATACATTAGTATATCACCCTTTCGTCTATTCACGCTTCATCTTACGTTTTGAATGACTGCACATTTTTCATATACGCTCGTTTGACAAGCCTAAGTACCGAACTATCACTCCATATTATACATGTAACCCAACAATACAGTTTCTGATATAAATTTCATATGTCTTTACTGGCTGTTTGTCGCCTAATATTCATGGATTAATAAACGCAGAGGCTGAGGAAGAAGTGTCTGTAAGTATGGTATGTGCTTTGCGCCGTCTAAGTGCAAAGTACTGTTGCAAGATTGGCAGGAGCCTGTACCTGCACTCACTCTTGCGGGTGAACCGCTTGAATTTTTTGATAAGTTTGTGTATCTGGGTAGTCGTGTCAGTGCTGGCAGAGGGGTGACGGATGACATTTCCAACCGTATAATGAAGGCTATGGTGGCATACATCAACTTGAGCCACCTCTGGCGGCGTCGCGACGTTAGCCTGGCTGTCAAAGGTCGGGTATACAATGCTTCGGTGCGGGCTGTCTTGCTCTACGCCTGTGAAACCTGGCCTCTCCGAGCTGAGGATGTGCGGCGACTCTGCGTGTTCGATCATCGCTGTCTCCACAGGATTGCTTGCGTTCGATGTCATCATTGAGTGAGTAATTCTGAGGTTCGGCGGCGGGTATTTGAACACAGTGGAGATCACCATTCATTGAGTGTCGTCATCTGGAAACACCGGCTCCGGTGGCTTGGACATGTGCTGTGAATGTCATCCCAGAGGCTTCCGTACAAGTCTCTGTTTGCTAGCCAGCCCTGGGACGGGATGGAAAAGGCGGAGGGGTGGTCAGTCCATGACGTGGAGTCGTGGGATGAAGGATTTTTCTGCTAGATTAGCATCGGTTGGTGCGTCACGACTCCCTGATTGGGGTCCGCGAGATAGCCCGAATCGATGGCTCGAAACGTTATCAGATATGGCCAAGAATCGTAATCAATGGCAGACGTGTTGCAATTTTCTTCTTTCTTCCCTTCCTGATGATAGTTGACGAATACTGTTCGAACTTGTTAAACATGATTGTTTTCCTTCCAGATGAAGTTCTTTATCCGTTTTCTACTTATATTTTTACTTTTAATCTATGTTGTTTTATTATTATTGTGTGGCGCATCTTTCTTGGTGCCATATTGTACCAAGTTTTTTCTTCTGCGTTTAAATAATACTAATAATAGTAATAATAATCAGGAAGAGATTGTTATCGAAACCACAATTGTTCTAAGAATAGAACTTGTCCACTGTGATAGAGTATAATTCCATTATGGGTAGAATTTTTTTTTGACAAGGGCCCACAGTGTTACACAGTAATATTTACCGATGACAACGTTTCGAGCACAATTTATTACTGCTCATAATCATATCAAGGCATTACTCACACGCAACTTTCTAACTTCTTTTATATAATTCGATCATTATTTTTCATCGTTTGACTTGATTGGTAGTAGTATTTTGCATATTTCCGGTATGAGTGATGAGTCATTCCCACTGCACGTGTTGGGTGTAGATTCCATGATCAAAGATGCTGTAGTCGACCTCTCTCTTCAGCTATCTATATTACTTTTCAAAATTTTAAGTCTCCCCGCCCAATTGTGTGATAATGTATGAAGTGCGATTCCTGAGGGTTTTTTTTGAATTAATTATCTTCCAGGGGTCAATCATTCTAAACTTAGCTAAATTCTTATACGAGTTTGACCACGGATTGATATCAGTTAGAGAACTATTGAAAACCACGGACAGGGACTGGACAGCTGTTTCATCCTAGTTTGGGAATCATCGACAGCACGCACGTTAGTGACTTGCTAAGGGAAAGAGTGGTCGCGTTAAAAACACTAATTTGTAGAAGTTAGAATTCATGCAGTGCCCATTGAATCGGGTCCCAGTGGCTGAATGGCATACGAGCTTGCCTTGTAATCGAAATGTCCTGGGGTCGAACCCCAAGTGGGTACTGGGTGCTGGGTACTGCCGATGATTCCCAAACTAGGATAAAACAGCTGTCCAGTACTCCCTGGTGGTCTTCAATGGTTCTCTAACTGATATCAATCCGTGGTTAAATTCGTATAAACATATCTAATCCTTACAAACCAAACTCTTGAAAATTAAATTCTAATGTTCTGACAATTTGACCACCTCCACCTCTTATCTCCTGGTTTGACCCATGTAGTTGACCTCACAGTCATTGCAAGTTATTTTGTGAATTATACAATTCTGTCTTATTGGGGGACCAATATGGTCGTCTAACCTACAGAGCTTGTCTTATCTGAGTGAGTTTGTAGGTTTAAATGCCTTCCACTAATTCTTCCTTTATTAGGAATCCTATGTGGAGTTTCAGATGTCCCTTCTTTATATATGGTGAAAACCGTAGATGCCTCATATTCTCAATGTTATGTTCACTATTCAATGGAATTATATAAACAAAGTTGAAAAGTTGTGTGAATAACTTGACACAATTATGAACAGTAATAAATTGTGCTCGACACGTTGTCATCAGTAAATATTACTTTAAGACTTTATCAAAATAATTTCTCTCCATAATGGAATTCCAAAATTCTATCACCACATCAATACATCTAATAAATTAGAATTCAATTGAACTGAACAGATTCTTGTCACTGAGCTTAGTCAAACAGGTTACACACTGCTGATTAGCAGAGTCAGAAACCTGTACAACAGCTGTCTGATGTACAAATCTCTTTGAAATGGCTAGCAGACAAAGAAAATTGTCTTCGTTGAACTGTCTTTTATTTTCTTCATAATTCTATAATGAATATAGAGATCTAGAGCGGAATGAACAAGAACCGGATCTTCAACACTAATGCGTGAAGTCAGTCAGGGATTTCGCCTGGTTCAGGAGATTCAGCGTACACATCGCAAAAATGGATTTCTAACAGCCTGCCACACGGCGGTCAGTTTAAAATATGAGCTAACACATAAGCCTCTATTCTGTTCAGTTTGTTATAATTTTTTGAAATATGACCTTTAGTGGTGGTGTTTTCTCCTGTCGCGAGTATTCAAAATATCTACAACCTACTGATTCATAAATTTCCAATAAACTTGAGAAACAGTATAACTGTCAATGCCTAAGTATCCCAATAAATGAGATAGCTACTGTTCCTGAGCAGCTACGTCCTTGGTTCTCAAATTGTACTCCTGTGCGCCTTTACTAACTGAGACAAAGAGGAAAAATCATAAGGTATTGTGGTCTTCTGTGTCGGTAGCAAAGCGGTAGAATGCTCGCCAACCACGCCTCATGCGGTCCGGCGTTCGATCCCCGGCCACCGACGCACTTCTTTACCTCACTAAGTCAGTAATAAGACTGGTTAAGAGGGAAGGTTGGGTATGAGGCTGGTTAGCAACCCCATCCCATGAGAATAAACATCAATGCTACCGGAAATTCAAAGCTCTAGCTTGGAGCCCTTCCTATGTTCCACTGGGAACGTAAAGGAATAAAAAACAATTGCGGTTTTCGCTTCAGGTCAAACAGCATTGTATTACACGATCGACTGTCACCTACTATTTTTCTTTGAAGATAGTGGAGAAAGAGAAACTATTGTTCAATAAATTTCAATGAACTTTCGGTATATTATATGAATACTGTCGGAATAAAGCTATTATTCTTATTATTATTGTTATTATTATTATCATTATAGACTTTCATCTATGCCTACCTACCTACACTCAATCCTAAAGACCAGAAAATCGGCAGGAAAGAACAAGGAAGAGACCGCCATGAATACATATTGCTACAAACAAATATTCAGAAGGGGATGGAGACTGGAATAGACAAGAGTTGCCTTCTTAACCCAATAATGTAGACCATTCAGATAGCCAGTCGGTCAGAAAGGGATAAGCAAACGAGCGAACAAGGAATTCTAGCAAAGGAACTACAATAGAATAGGTATTCGAGATAGATGAATTCTACATACACCGAAGGAAGGCACATTTCAGTGACAATACCAGGCCATCGAGTGGCACGCGAGTGAGGGTTTTGACTGTCCATGGCTGACATGGAAGAGAGCATATGAAGAGAGAAAGAGAGAGAGACCTCCTGTAGGCATCAGTTAGGCAGATCACTGAAAACCATCACGGAGCAGTACTGGACACAGGTGTTTCACCCACGTAGTTTGGGACTCTTCACCAGTATCCCCACCACCACCAGGGATCTAACACCCGGGACCTTCAGGTCGCTATGAGACAAAGTTCGTCGATCATTCAGTTACTTTGGGGGGCGGGGACTTCATGGCCCCTGAGTTCTAACTTTGTCAACTCGTGCATGATGACATGGTGCTGCCTTTAATGAGCATCCATTTCACATCGTGAAATGGTCGACCCCATTGGTCACGAATTAGTTGAAAGTGATGATGGAGGACCGATTGGTATGCAAATGAAACACAGGAAATGAATAAATAATAATAGTACTCACTTTGTTGCAATATCATATGTATCCGGATGAACAGCTGTTTGATCCAAGGGATTGAAAGAATTCACATCAGACTGATCATTATTGACAGATGATGACTTTAAGCGTGGCTTTTTACTAACACGTTTTCCAATCGATTCAGCACCACGTTTACGCTTAACTCCAACGCCAACTCCACCATAATTATCTCTGTCGTCGATATCATCACTAGAAATGGAAATCATTTCAACATCCCTGTAATTAGGCATCGGAAGAGAGAGAGGAAAAACGGAACAGCAGAAAACGCCGTCAATGTGTATGTATAGTATTCACCAGTCAAAATCAATAATGCTGCAGTAAAAGAATAATGTGAATGAATGTAGAGAGAAAAAGAGACTTTACAAGAACCTGGATTTCAGAGGAGATACTTATGGCCTGTAATATCCTGAAGAGGAGAATTTCAGAATCTTTTGGGGAGGATATTCATCGCAGCGGTCTGCAGAAGCCTTAAGGTCAACATCTCGTATGTAACCCATTCTTCGTGTATGTCAGTCCACCTGTTGCTCCAGAAATAGCTACATTGGTCGTTCGCCGCGTATCCTGTCTAAAAGGATTCAAGAACAGTATACCACATTGCTGGAGAAAAGTAGTAGCTGTTCATTTAGGAGTGCCAGATAATCGAACACCTTGTCAACACTGGTCATTCCATCTGAACAGACGTCTACTCCTTCAAACTAATCAATCTACAAAGTGAAGAATACTAACCTGCCAAAGGCGATACGCTTTCATCTTCTTTTTGCATTGTTGCAGCCTTAGCCGTTCAGTTAAAAAAACCGGAGCTACGCTCGTTTTTTGTAACTCTTCATGACTCTTAAATAATTGGTTACAGGATTTCATCATGAGCTGACATTGGTTAGAGAGCCATTGCAAAACCTGCACGGAATACTGGACAGCTGTTTCGTCCTAATTTAGGACTCATCAGAAGGTCCTGGGTTCGAACCCCTGTGGTGGGTGCGTACTGATGAAGAGTCCCAAACTAGGACGAAACAGCTGTCCATTACTCCCCGAAGGTTTTCCAATGGTTCTCCAGCCAATATCAGCTCATGATGAAATCCTGTGACCAATCAACCGAATCCCTACAAACCAATACTTGAATCTTAAATAATTCCCTATTTTCCTTTTTTCTCTACGTGCATCTGGATCACAACTCACTTAAACTAAATTATTCATCTTATTACACTTATTCAAATTCTTCTATACGCTGACTAATATTAGCAACTGCCTTGATGACAACCAATCACTCTTGTTACTACCCTCTTACATGGAAAAGAGACTGTGTATGTACACGCGATTGTACAGCTAAGAAGGAAAATGAATTCACCGGAAAAAACCTCTTCGCTAATGAACTAGGTGTTTTGTTTTTATCATAAATGCATGTATAAGGATTATTCATGAATTACACAACCAGTCTCAAGCCACCGCCTTGGATTAACATCCCCACCACATTTTGATATGGTGAACAACTCTCTACCAGTTGAAACTTCTCACGACAACTTCAAACAAACATAATCTATCCAGTAGTCAATCAAGGAGTTGGAGATTGACATTTAGATTATGGATTTTTGTAGCGATTTGAATGAATTTCAATGTGGATTTCGTCAGGATCTAACAATAGCGACACAGATCATTGTAAACCGGGGGGGGGGGCATTTAACACCTAAATATATGTATATAAAACTTGGACACTGTGGTAGTATGCAATTTCATATTAATTTTTTTGTTAGGTATATCACACAGTGAAACAGTATTATTTACTGGATGACGCTTCGAACACAATTCATCATTGTCCATAATCATATCAGTTATAATCACACGACTTCGAAACTTGAGTTTTATAGTTTTCTTTGTTCTTTCCTGTTCGTCGTCGTGAAATTTTCCAGATATCTGGGTGGACAGGTGTTGAATCATTCCTGTTACACGTATTGGTTAGCATTTGATTCGATAAACAAAGCTTCTGTTATCAATCTCTCCCTCCACCCTATGGTTACATTAGATTTTAAAACTGTCATCTTATCCCATCCTATCCTATTGTATGGTTGTGTGTAATTGCATGTGGTGTGGTGCTATAGCTGAACTATTCTCTAGATTTCTTGTCTTATTAGGGTCAACTAATCTAACCTTGCGGAGAATTCTAAACAAAAGTGGCTGGTATAAGAATAAAACTTGTGCGCTGTGGTAGAGTGTAATTCCATTATGGGTAAATTTAGTTTTGATAAAGTCTCACAGTGTTATACAGTAATGTTTACTGATGACGTTTCGAGCACAATTTATTGCTACTCATAATCATATCAAGGTAATCACACGACTTCCTAAATTCATTTATATAGCTCCATTGTTTTTCACTTGATTTGATTGGTAGTAATATTTTCCATATTTCGGGTATGAGTGATGAATCATTCCTATTGCATGTGTTGGGTGTAGACTCGATGAACAAAGATTCAATAATCAACCTCTCCTGCTCTCCACCTACCTAGATTACTTTTTCGAATTTCAACCCTCTCCCACCCTATTGTGTGCTTGTGTGTTAATGCATGCATTGCAATTGCTGAGCTTTTTCCTAAATTACTTATCTTCTCGGGGTCAACTATTCTTACCTTAGCTAAATTCTTACGTTCTGACAATCTGACTACCCGTGACCTACTAGTTTGACCTATGTAGTTGACCTCACAGTCATTGCAGGGTATTTTGTAAATTATATTATTTTATTTAATTAGGTCAACTGGGTCCTTTAACCTACACAGCTTGTCCCTGAGTGAGTTTGTAGGTTTAAATGCCACCCTAATTCCTGCTTTATTTAGAATCCTACGTAGGGTTTCAGATGTCCCCTCTTTATATGGCATAACTGTAGATGACTTATATTCTCTCTTATTTATGTTATTATTACTAGTTTCACAATGGAACTAAATAAATGAATTCAGGAAGTCGTGTGATTACCTTGATATGATTATGAGCAATAAATTGTGCTCGAAACGTCATCAGTAAACATTACTGTATAACACTGTGAGACTTTATCAAAACTAAATTTACCCATAATGGAATTACACTCTACCACAGCGCACAAGTTTTATTCTTATACCAGCCACTTTTGTTTAGAATTCTCCGCAAAGTTAGATTAGTTGACCCTAATAAGACAAGAAATCTAGAGAATAGTTCAGCTATAGCACCACACCACATGCAATTACACACAACCATACAATAGGATGGGATGGGATAAGATGACAGTTTTAAAATCTAATGTAACCATAGGGTGGAGGGAGAGATTGATAACAGAAGCTTTGTTTATCGAATCAAATGCTAACCAATACGTGTAACAGGAATGATTCAACACCTGTCCACCCAGATATCTGGAAAATTTCACGACGACGAACAGGAAAGAACAAAGAAAACTATAAAACGAAAGCTTCAAAGTTGTATAATTATAATCGGTGATATGATTATGAACAATAAATTTTGTTCGAAACTTTGTCATCCAGTAAATAATACTGCTTCATTGTGATATATATAAACATATATATATATATATATGTTCCGTCTCCTCCGTACTTCCATGATATTTATTTAAACTCTGATTATCTGTCCACTTCACCTTTAGTATTACGTAACTTTTAAGATTTAGCCTAATTTATTTATTGAATTGTCTACATATACACATATTACTACCTGCGTTATTCTTATCGCCACCTGCATAAACCTTATTATCAATATTTTGTCATCAATATGTATAATAAACAAATTAATATGGAAGCACCTGACACTTGTTTCGCTCTAGACTGGAACTCCTCAACAGTGAATCATTAGTGTCTCTTGATGATGATAACAATTTACAATTAAACTAATCAATAATTACTGATTATCACCATTACCATTACTAATACATAATTACACGATTAGTGTAACGATTACAGTGGATTGGGGTGAATTTTTCTAACAGCATGAAAATGCCTAGATATTCGTCGAATGAATAACACGTTGAACTGACTGTCTGAAATGCACCTGAGTCATTTAAAAAATTGATTTTTAATTTACTAAAAGGTAAAAAAAAGAAAAACACATAACTCAACACACACACACACACAAAACTTACTTTGTACCATCTAAAGTAGTTGTTGAATATGTGGGTTTCACTCGAACAAAACCAGCACATTGAGCAAAAGTTGACTGTCCAATACCTTTAACCTAGAAATAAGGACGAATACTACTTATCACAATATGAACAATAGAGTTATAACAATCAGTTACTGCAAGTACAAGTCAACACATATATGCGTCTAAAATATGTGTTAGGTGGTTGAGACCAAGCCACAGGAAGAACCCTGAATCCATGTTTCGTGTTGTTGTTTTCTTTTTTTGGTACTTGACACTAAGGCATATCTTCACAACCTCGAAAGAAATGAAATGATACCGTCTCTCTGAGGTCCAAATAGCCTTCACCCAGTACTACAGTCGGAGAGATTCCCACTAAGCTATAATAATAATTATTATTGTTATTCACTTGGACTTCTTTCACTATATTTTTCCTTCAATAGGTTCGTTGACCACCAGAATTCCTTGGTGCTAATTCTTTCTGACCGGCAATCTGATCTTAACTATGGAGAGCGGAAGACATGAAAAGGTTGACTGTTTTTGACCACAGATGTCTACGATCTCTTTCTCACGTTAGGTGGCATAATAAGCTAAGTAATGTTGACGTTAGGCGTAAAGTGCTGAGCAAAGAGGGAAAATCAATCAAAAAGGCTATAAAGTTACATAGATTGAGATGGCTAGGTCACGTGCTGCGCATGCCTGACCATCGCCTCCCCCGCCCCGACGGGCATTACTAGCTGATGTAGGTGCAGGTTGGAAAAGAGTAAGTGGTGGACAAACAAAAACATGGCACCAGTCCATGAAATCCTTGACAGTTAAACTGAGTCAGGTAGTGAGGGAGATGCATTCTTCCGGGTTGGGGCCCGGCCCACCCTCGGGACTCTAAGAATCAATGGCTGGAGACAATAGGTGACATGACTCGGAATCGTTGTCAATGGCTTACGCAGATGTATTCAGTCTCTGTAATCTTTCATATTCCTTTCTACCATTACTCATTCTGTTTCACTCCTATACTTTTCAAAACTCTATTGATTCTCTTCACTCATTTTCTTGTCTACCTTTGTGTGCTCTTTGGAACGTGGTAACTCGAACTGGTGCACTTCGGTGCCAAGTTCTATGTTGAATCCAGCCAGCTAACCAGCTTCACTATGGAACCAGCGAAGGCAGCTTTTGATAAAAGTCTGCAGTAGCCTGTTATAGATGCTACAGCTACTTAGAATTCAGTTCCTGTATCACTGTGATGCCTACATCGACTGGTCATAGATTTTATTCTTATTGTAGGCACTGACTATAGTACTGGGAGATCCATATTCGATCCATCGGCGGGGAAGGGGGGTGCGGTAGGCCAGTTACTTCTTTCGAAGTTCAACAGTGCTAACAAACACGAATCTCACCCAGTTTATTGAAGGTAATCATTTAAGCAAAGAAGACAGGTTAAGAAAGAAATTACCGACCCCACCTCTTAATAATAACATCTACATCGATGGGCTCTACATATTTCACTCGAAAGACTTTCAGTATCTGGAAGATCCCAAGAACTAAATAATACATATACCTTAGTGGAAACGATTTCCAGTCATATAACCAGCTTCAATCTCCAACCATTAGTTATTCATAGCGTCTTGATAACTCCACAAGCTGGTAGTTTACCCACTCACCCCCCTTGCGTGATTCAAATCAGTCAAAATTCATGAATTTTTGACAAATTTTCATTATTTTGCTAGTTACTTCCACTGACTGCTTTATGTGCTCATGGAAGTGTGTGAGCGGTTGTTACTTGCCGGGGCTGCTTACGCCATAGAAGTTGAAAGAGAAGGAGTAGTGCTGCGTAACAGCACAGTCCAGGGACGTGCACTTCTGGGATTCTGTCCGTATCAAGATCTTAACACCGGTTGCAAACCGCCACAAAATAAGTAGGGATATACAATTGTCCAGGTCGACCTTTACTAGACCCCCTCCCCACCCAGTCTTCTCCAAAAAGAAGGAGAGGCAGCATAACTGAAATGCTAATCTTCTGAGAGAAACACCTTACTTCTCTTAAATCCTTATTCACCAACAGTACAACTTTTCCCACAGACCCCAATACATACTATAAACAACTGACACACTATGATGGCGAATGCCTTTAGTCTGACCACTCATTATCTGAACGATCTTTCTTTCATGGTAGGACTTGCAGAAACATTCGTTTCGACCGATGTAGCTCGATTGGCCATTGCGATACTTAAGGCCCGACCACCACCTCAGAGTAGCAGCTATCGGTCGACCATGTGTAGTAACACAAATCACAGCCCACGAAGTAGCTTTACAACTTCATCGATGATTGGATTTCCCTCTTTACCAAAATCACCTACGCCTGACCGACCTCATCATCATTGGACAGCACACAAAAAATTGAAATAAGACAGCCGTAAAGAAGGATAGGTGGCCCTAATTATTGATTTATTCCACCTTTATGGCTTGGGAACAGTAGCCTAGCGATATGGCGTGATCACCGCGGCTGTATCTAGATCGGCGTCCTCATTTCAATCTCTAATACTATTGAGAAGTATAAATGTGGCAACATCGAAACATATTGGCGACGGGGTTGTTGGATTCTTCGACGTCCGACAAATTCCTCGAGCAATCAGTTAAACCCAGTTTGGACGCCAGGGTGGTCCTCAATTCCATGCAGCTTGCCAGACCTCTCAAAACCTCTGCCAGCCCCCTGGTCCTACCTCAAATGTTCAGTGTCCAATATCAATCAGCGTTCAAAGATGACACCTCGATCATCCTGTTGACATTGCGATGCTTGACATTTCGTGAATTCTTGTCCTCACAAGCAACACCAACGCCAAGATAGCACAAATGTTGGACACGGAGACGGTTTTAGTCAGCAACATACACAACGACACTCACAACAGCTATCCTTGACATATCGCTACAGACGGTGCGAGAAAAACCTGTCAATGTTCAGATCCCACGTCCCCAAGATGATGCTACCCCTTTACTAAGTGCTTCATTACCACAAGTTGACATCAAACTCTCCCTTCTCGAGCAGAACAACGTGTTCTCAAGCGCTCTACAGCTCCTCACGCTCTGTTGGTGAGGAGGAGGTCACAAATGCTCAAGAAGTTCCAGTAAACAGCAGATCACACCCTTGACTTTGGCCAGCCAGGTACAGAAAACAGATGGTGCATTCCCAGGTTGGTACCACGTAATACGTCCCTTCTAAAGAGGGACGTAGTATGTAGGCACATAAACAAAGGGTTATCCTTTTGTGGTTATCTCCTCTCAAGCCTATAATCATTGGCCATGAATCCCAACTCATGATACATATTTAGCGCAACCGCCAGCCAATGTCACGGGCGAGCAAAAGTTCTCTTGTCTGACTTGGTGGACATCGTTGGTTACGACCATTGGGTCGGGTCTCAGTGGCTTAATGGTCCACGGGCTCTCACCTTGTAACCAAAACGTCCTGGGTTCGAACCTCTGTGGTGGGTGCCTACTGATGAAGAGCCCCAAACTAGGAGAAAACATGTGTCCAGTACTCCCTGCTGGTTTTTTAATGGTTCTCTAACTGATGTCAGCTCGTGATGAATCTTGTACCCAATCAAATCCCTACAAATCAACACTTGACTACATACATTTACCGTTTTGTAAATATACGGTGACCGATACTGAAATATGCTTTTCGGATCACATCGTTGTGTGTTCTCGCTTAATTAGAAAAGGGCTACGGAAACAGGTAGCTGTCTTCTAGTGCTGTTGGCGTTAGGAATAGCAATTTTCGTGATCGACGCATTCGTGTCAATTTTTTTGTCTCCATTTTAATCTCAATGTTCTTATGAAGTATGAAAATGCCAACACATCATAACAAATCTGACTTGTAATATTGATTTTCACAAAAGAAATTAGGGTATCTCATTTAACAAACATATACATATATATACACATAGAGACAAGTGAAAATTACCTTGAGAAGATCAGCTCTCGATCGAAATGGTCCAACTTGACACCGATAGGCTAAAATTGCTTTTGCTTTCGCCTCAGACAAACCAGCCACATGAGACAGAATATGCAGTGGAGCGGCGTTCAAATCAACACCGACAAAACTAATACACTCTTCCATAAGATCATGAACAGCACCGACTAGTCGACGTTCTGGAATATCGTGTTGATACATACCCACACCTAAATGTTTTGGTTCAAGTTTAACCAATTCAGCTAGTGGATCTTGTAATCGTCTAGCGATTGACACAGCCCCCCTGAAACTCACATCTAAATTTGGTAATTCTTTAGAGGCCAATTCTGAAGCACTATAATATGAGGCACCAGATTCACTGACAACAGCATAACGAATATTTAATGGTTTGAAGTGGCCAATTTGTATTAAATGGGATAACCAAGAACCAGTTTGTCGACTGCCTTGTCCATTGCCGAGAGCAACAGTTTCAATACTGTGAAAGGTGGTTAGGAAAGATGAAAAAAGAAATAAAATAAAACTGTGAGTAAAAAAATGCATTATACACTGGTCTTCTCCTAAACAGTTGATGGGAATTGGCTTAAAATAGTAATCACCTTAGGATTCATAGCCTGATCGGATGATCATAGGTGTCTGCGTTCTATCTCCCGCGTTACGTAGTGGTATAATAAGGTGAGCAATATTGAGGTTAGGCATCGGCCGAGGTTGTGAAATTACACCGATTGAGATGGTTAGGGCATGTGTTACGCATGCATGCCTAGCAATCCATCACCTTCCTCGACAACGGGTTATGTTAGCTGACATAGGATCGGGTAGAAAAACAGCTAGTGGTGGTCAAACCAAAACCAACATGTCTTCATCAGTCAATGGAATCCACAACAGTTAGTTTAAGTCATCCAGCCACGTAGGGAGGTGTAGACTACCTGACTGGTTGGGGTCCTCGGGATGGTAAGAAGCAATAAGGGATGGAGACAGTTGGTGAAATCGAAATCGTTCTCAGTGATGGCACAGATGCATCCATATTTTGTGATTTATCATATCCAATAAAGCCCTATTGTTCTACCACATTACTATTCTTTTTTCCTGACACTTCTTTTTACAATCTGTCTTTTGAATCCCTCTGTACTCTTCTTTTCTTGCTCTGTGCGGTACATGGAGTGTGGCCGCTTGAATTGCTGTACATCTGTGCAAAGCTATACGTTGAAACCGGTCAGTCAGTGATCGGATGATTGTAAAATCTCATCATCTTTTCCTTACCTTAAGGTATTGGTCACATCGCCAAACCAATCAGAATACTTATTACAGGATTTCATATCATGAGCTGACATCGGTTGGAGAACCATTGGAAAACCTGGGAGTACAGCTAGACAGCTGATTCGTCAGTCTAGTTTGGGACTCCACTTCAACTATAGGCACCCACAACAAGGGTTCGAACCTCAGAACCATCCGCTTACAAACCAAGCTCGTAGACCAATAAGCCACTGGGACCCGATCCAATGACCAGACCATGCATAGCAACTTCTGCTAATTCAGAGTTCTAAAATAGGATGAAACAGTTGTGTGACAGTATTCTCAAGTTTCCCAATGGTTCCCTAACCAATTTCAGCTCATGATAAAATCCTGTAATCAATCAACTCAAATCCCTGTAAACCAACACAAGATTATTTATTTTCGCAGACCTAGCCGAATAGCCAACCAATCAGAACAATCTTTTTACCGCTGCTCTAAGCAGATTTTAATGTGGTTATATATATATATATATGACGTGCTTTTTCCCTAGTAAAAATTATGTCCTAACAGTCACAGGCCAGTTCTTTGTCTTTGATATTTATGTGGCTCAGTGAAGCAGAATTGATACCACGGACAAATAGGTGTCTCTAGCATATCAGTTTAGTTTTCCATTGCGTCAGTATTATTATAGTTACGCGTAAATCCACTTGGTTATATCAACTGTCAACGAGATCATATCAAACGAGGACAGGTCTATAACAAAATGTTAACCAGTTCATTGAGACTGGTGACATTTTTTTATTCCTTCACGTACCTAGTGAAACATAGGGTTTCAAGCCGGAGACTTGAAGTTTCGGTATCAAGGGTGCTTATTTCTATGAGATAGGGTTGCTAGTCTCATGCCCAATCTTCCCTCTTTACCAGTCTCACTACTGGCTTACCGAAGTAAAGGAGTGCGTCGGTGGCCGGGGATTGAACACCGAACCATATTTGGCTTGGTTGGAGAGCATTCTACCTCTGTTCCACCGACGCGACTGGCGACACAGTTCACAAATAATAAGCAATGGGACTATTCATCTCAATACAGCCACAACAATAGTGATGTTCTCTGAACTGAACGTGGTTAATCTGAGAGTTATAAGGAAGCAAATTCGGATTTTCGACACCAATATTGAGTCAGTCAGTTATTCTACACGGGTGAGAAACGTCACCAGTGCGTCACGAAAAGCATTTCCAACAGGACGATTCAGACTTCTACCAACAGCCGCCTTCACTGGCTTTCATAATGAAGACAAGATGGCCATCCAGAAAGAATAAGCAAGAGGAAACTCAGGGAACAAACCAATCATGAACCTATTGACTCAACAAATATTCAGAAACAGATGGAGGTGGATTGGACACACATTAAGGAGACCGTTGGGTGCCATCATGTCGCGGTCACACCATAGCTCGACTGGAATCCGAATGAAAAATGGTGAGTTGGCCATGAGTTCGAGGGTAGCATGAAGGAGATCGTGTCAAGAGACGAACGCTTATGGCGAATTGTCAGGACAAAATATGACGTTGAGACTCTGTGTCTCACGCGGAACTCAAGGGAATAATAATAATAATACGGCTAAGGCAGAAAATGAAATCACCGATAAAAAAGAGACTCTTTGCTGAACCACTAGTCTTTTTTCCATAAAATAAGAATAGAAATAGAAATAATGGTGATGATGATGATCAAATAATTCTCACTGATTACGCTGCATAACAGCTGTTAATGCCCCCAAACCATTATTCTCTCTTGGTCCATTATGCGCATTCAACTGTTTCATTGGAATAGCCGAATACGTGTGCGGTGGCCACAATATCCCTGTGGCTAGAACATTTCCATGCGGATCACACGCAGCCCATTTACATCCATTTCGCCAACCTGGATCCAAACCGACAACAGGCAGACGATCACCTGGTGCACCAGATGCCGAAGAAATCATGCCTAATTCATCTTCATACTTTGTTGTTGTTGTTTGATTTACAGTAGTTGGGATACGTAATGGAGCTGTCATCAACATACGGCGAAGATTTTCTGTGAATACTTCAAGGGATGAATCTTGCGCTGCAGTGGATAATTTAGCTCTGTGGATTGAAATGTAATTTTAAAAAACACAGAATATTAGCCTAAATATTTTACTTAATAATGAATGTAAGAATGCGAATGAATAAAAACTGACCTGTAAATCACTGTAGGTCAACGACAGGCCATAAAAATCAATGACTGAAGATAACTATCGGTGATATGACTAACAAATCTCCCCGATCCTTCATTACATCATCACATCTCACCATGTGATGATTCTTTCCCGAGTATATTTCCGCTTTCTATAGTTCGTTTGAAACTACGCCTAGTTTACTCGTTCGCTCGTTATCTAGCCAGTCCTAGACGTCAAGAAAAGAGGAAAGGTTGGGCGTATAGCTAGAGACCCTAGGCTGGAAAATCAATCCAATTGCTGTGAAAACTTCAAAGTACAACAAAAGTATATTTTTTTTAACAACAACAGATTTCAATTAGTTCCTCATCAACGGCTGGCTGGCTGGCTGACTGGCTCTACACTAATATATGTAGCCGTTTTTTACATCAACATTTTCTACAAATCAAGGAGTTATTTTTGGTGAATCAATTTTAGGTACAACAGTGGGGTGAAATTAAGAGGTTAAAAGTCATCAAAACAATCAACTAATAGGTGCTAGTAAGAAGATATCCAAGTTTTGAAGGAGAGGGGGAATTAGTCGATTAGGGAATTCAAGGTAAGTTGATTCTGAGACGTTACCAACAAGTTATTACACAATCAAGAAATCTGTAAAATAGCCACAGTGACTAAGAAGAATAGGATAACTCAGAAGAGTTACGTAAAATACAAACAACCTAATAGAATTAACTAAAATTGTAAAAAATTAACAAAGTCAGAAAATAGTTACAAGGAGAGAGGAAAATTCGTTTTTAAAAACTTAATACACATTATGTAATTGGCCATGGCAAAGAATTGGGGCTGTACACAGGGCCTTCAAAAGGACTTTCTACGCAGCTTAGCTATAGTGTATATTCATTCATTAGCCAAGCAATACTTAGCTCAAGAAATGAAGACACACTGTCCTGCTACGCCTCTTCCTTCCATGTGTATTTACCAGCACAACTGCTTGTTACATTGGATGTACGATCAGGCGAGTTCATCGTAAAATTTCTGAACACCTCCCATCTTGGTTTGGCAAAGGCTCAAATAAACCTGCTATACTCACAGCTCAATAGTAGCTCATCTCAATACTGTACAGCTCCACTCTTTGCCATGGTCAATTACATAATGTGTATTAAGTTTTTAAAAACGATTTTTCCTCTCCCCTTGTAACTATCTTATTAATTTGTTAATTTTTACAACTCTAGTTAATTCTGTTAACTATCTGTTAACAGATAAAAGGAACACCAATGGGATCATCGCCCATATCAGGATTAATAGTTGAAGCCTTTATGCAAAGATTAGAATTAATAGCACTGCCTACACATAATTACACCAAAAATCTGGATAGGTTAACGTTGTTGTAATAGTTGTAAGAAATGATTTGGAATATAACCACAAATTAATAGACAACATATTTGAAGACATTAAATTCACAAGAGAAGAAGAATTAGCCAACAAAATTCCACTCTTAGATGTCTTAATCAAGAGAACTAACACAGGAAATTTAGAAATACAAGTATGCAGAAAATCAACGCAGATAGATCAAATATTCAACTATAATAGTAATAACCCCATTACCCACAGAAGAAACTGTGTGCAGACATTGTTTAAAAGAGTCCAAACACACACTCAAGCACTCCAGTGCTGAAGAGAATAGGAGAGAAATACCACCTAACCGTCTTCAAAAAGAATGAATGCCTACACAATTTCATCAAAAAATGTTTAAACTCAAGTCGTAATACAAACAAGAAGGCATCATTAAAGACCACAAGAAAATTCACTCTACCATATTTTAAAAAAATATCTCCGAAATAACATCTAGAATATTGAGACCGTTTGAAATAGATATAACGCACAAGCTAGCAGACCAAAAGATTCAACAGAAAAAGGAGATAAGATCAACACCATTTACAAAATAAACTGAATGAACTCTGACAAACACTACATCGGTTAAAGTGGGCGACCACTTCGATTCCGAATCCGAGAACATAAATTAGCTGTGAAAAGACACGACATATGTACTCCTGTTTTATATCGATGCATCTAGACAGCTATGAACATGAATTTGATTGGAAGAATGCAGATATTTTAAACAGAGGAAACATCAAACAAATGCCAGGGAATTTCTAAAAGCCTGTTTGGCATTCAGATGCATCTGAGACTACCAGACACACATTACTATAGAACAAATTTACCAACTAATAAGATATAAATGATACGGCGAGGAAATTCAGAGTCCAAGTCAATAAAAGTGATGAATTGTTGGCATTAGATGGTTGGAGACAATCGGAAGGAAGCCTTGGACCTGGGTTTTGTGCCAGTTGGCACTCACCAGTCATGGTGGCCCCATTGCAAACTTGACTGATAAAATTCAGTCTGCACTAAAAATAGAACTAGACACATCACACTAGTTACTGACTTGTGTTCAATCAAAAAGTGTTGAATGTAAATTGAAAACCATTCACAACACGGGGTTGTCAGACTAAAGCCTGCGCTGAAGATGTTGTCTACAAGGACAACGAAAGCTTCCCAGTTAAAGCAACCAACTTAGAGAACACAAGTAGATTAAAAACCATCCACCTTAGCTAAAAATCTTTTCTACTATTTCAAAATCTGCTGCACTCAGTTGAAGGAACAAGATCCGCATCCTTGGCACGTTGCCAAAATCATTCCCACAGGGCTACTGCAAACTAATTCAATCAACACCTCTGCCCATTTCACTCGATAATGAAGAGATCAAGATAGTCAACCAGAAAGGATAAGCAACAACACGCTGAGGAGACACCACTGAGTGACATCACACACCAAGCTGACCTTCAAGTGTGTAACCCCCAATGGGGAAGATGAAAAGTTAGGCGTCATTTCGAGAGTGACATGGAGGAGCTCCTGTGACGAGGAAATGAAAGCTTACAGGTAGTCGAATTAGCCAGTTAAAAAAAGAATTCACAGAACAGAGTGAAGTGTTTCTGAAGCCCAATGTTCCACTCTAGACCTAAAGAAATGATACTACTACTACTAATAATAATAGTAATAATGTGGTGAGAGCTGTCTGCAAGCCAAAATTGTAGACAACAATTTACGTCAATGTTTGCGTCCCGAATCAGGGTCATGAGAAAAAACAAGAACAAAGCCTAACCGTGAGGAACTCAACAACCATTCACAGCAGACTCAGTGTGTGCAAATGCGATTCGCAGATAAATGGATTAACTTTCTAAGAAGCGGTCACGAGCAGTACAGAATAACCTTCAGCAAGAAAACAACCAATCAGAGGACGTTGCTTCTCCGCTAACAATAATGCACATAAAAAATGTATAAATATCTGTTGATTTACTCAATGAACGATCTGTTGCCTGGCCCTTGTCTTCTGTCGTTACAACAGTATTCAATACAGCTTTATAACTCAGAGATAACGTCTCTGACTGCAGACAGCACTGGGTGACGCGGGTTTGAATCTCAGAAGGGACATGAGTTCCTTCTAGGTGGCAGATACGCCTTGCTGGCTGGTGAGTGCCAACTAGCATGAAATATAGGCCCAAGGCTTCCTGTCGATTGCTTCCAACCATCTAATATCAATATGTGGTACATTGTGAATACATATAAACAGTATATTGACTAATGTCAGTTACTGTGTTTACAAAAAAAGTCACTGAGAACGAAGTGCAAGAAGATGATGACAAGTTTGACTTCATTGTATTAATTTCGCCGCGTCAATTAGAATTCAGCATAAATCATCCCAGACACTGATGGACAAGTGAAGCAAGTGTTGATTTTTCTATCGAAAAGAAAAATGGAGAATCACGGCTCCCTTGTCATCTTTGTCACAAAACAAGTAATCCATATCACAAATAGCCTGTACAATCTCTCTCTCTCTTACTCCAGTGGAAAAAACAACAACATAAAACTTCAAAAATAAAAATAAAACGCGGATTTACGCGAAAAAAAGAAGAAACAGTCAAATAAATATTATTTTTCAGTAATAAAACTACGCCATCATCTTCTTACCGAATACTACGCACTAAATGTGGATCAATCAAACGCTTCCATGCATCATCAAACGCTTGCATAACATAATCCCAATGACCACGATTCACAGTGGATAAGTATTTTTGAGATACAAATGTTGTACATTGTTGTTGTACTTGTGGGGATAAATTAATCTTTACAGTGATTACGCCTCTTTCACTTGCACGATTAATAGCTAACACCTGGGAAAAAAATGATAGTGAAATTGGGAGCAAAAAACAAAACGAACAGTTTAGTACGAAGAGTAAGTGTACGTGTTACAATTCCCTACTAACTGATAAAAAGTACTGACCACGAACTGACTACTGAAAACAAGCACGTACTACTGACTGAACAGCCACGTCACTCTACTTTGGGACTCTTGAATAATACGCACACCCAAGACTCTCCAAGTTAAGAAGTGGGCCCGTCAGTCTGGCTTTCGAAGATCAGGTTTACAATGCTTCGGTGTACCCAATTCTATTCTACACCTGTGAAACTTGACCTCTCCGAGCTGAGGATGTGCGGCAACTCTGCGTATTAGATCATCACTGTCTGCGTAGAGCTGCTTGCATCCGATGGATTCATTGTATGATTGATTCTAAGGTCCTGTAGAGTATCGTCGTCATGTGATAACACCAGCTTCAGTGGCTTGAATATGCGCTGTGAATGTCATTCCAGAGGCTTCATTACGAGGTCTTTGTTCGCTGGCCACCTGGGAATGGGTGGAAAAAGCAGAGACGTGGTCAACTTATTATGACGTGGCGTCGTGGGACGAATGATATTTGTGCCGCGTTAGCATCATTTAGAACACCACGACTCTCAGGTTAGGCTTCGAAAGATAGTTCAAATCGGTGGTTTGAAAAGTTATCAGATATGGGCAAGAATCGGAATCAATGGCGAACATGTTTCAACATCCTTCCTTCCTCCACATTTCTGAAAGTAACACGAATTAATGAATGTTGAATGATCTTGACAAATGTGCCTGCTTGCTTTCTGGATGACATCCCTCATTTATCCTCTGCTTATTTTCTTCATATTGATATCGGTAGCCCAAATTCTGCAGGCCAACTATTGATATTAGGTGTGCGTCGACAGAGGAGGATCGAACTCTGGACCATGTGCATGATCGGCGCGAGAGTCCCAACCACTGTGCCACCCATCGCATTGTATAGATGGGTGGGTTGTAAAACTGCAAGTAGTGATATAGCTCAGCTTTTTTCTAGATTCCCAATCTTGTCAGCGTCGGTCTACTAGTCTGAGAATGCATGCAACTGAAATGATTTAACACCTACCTGTCCACTTGAACAACAGGGAAAGCACTGCCACCCCGAATGAAATAGGCGAAGGGAAAACGATAACTAAAATCAGTTCATGAGAAAACTTGAAATCGATCGAATCCCTGAAAATTGTTTCTACTGCTCACTAGTAACTGACTACAGAAGTTCTTAGTTAGAAGTCGTGACCAGCGGGGTCCACCAAGCTGACTGTGAGGATAGATACTCGCCGATGATGATGATGATATTGGCCGGCAGTCGCACTATTGGATTCTGTCCCGATTGGTTGATTGATCGGCGAGCTTGCCTTGTAGCAGGATTGTAAGTCGCGGGATTCAAGCCATGGTGTGTACTGATGAAGAGTCCCAAGCTAAGACGAAACAGCTATGCACTACTCCCCCTGCTGGTTTCCATTGGTTATATCCAACTATTGAAGTCAGTTTCCGATCAAACCTGAAATTGATCTAATTCCTTTAAAGTAATACCTGAGAACTATGAAAGTCAAGTTTCCGAGTAGTGTGTAGCTGAAATTGATAATATAATTATAAACAATAATAGATTGTTTCAAAAACTCTTTGTCCAGTTAATACAACTGCTTCACTGTTTGTCTGATGTATCTAGCAAATTAATTGATATGGAGCTACAAACTAACACAGTGTCAAAGTGTTACATATATATATATATATATATATATATATATATCCAACCAAGAACAACAAAATAAACAGCATAGAATGATATCATGACGGCCGGCTCCTAATACGGAATGCCACGACGATATCTGAGTATTAACGTTGATGTTATTCGGTGGATGGTGACTAGCAGCGGCAGGAATCCAGGATGCGGATTTCATCTTATTCGTAGGACTCATTGGCTAGCCGGAGGTAACTGCATCCCAAGAGAGTAGATCAGCAATGGTATTCCTGTTGGGACTCGAACTCAGTACCCTTCGTTTCAAATACAAAGAGGGTTATCCAGTAGACCAGTTGGGCCACGAGAGCCACTTCTTCACTAACGGGTATTTAGTTATTATTTGTGTTTTTCAATTTAATTTGGATTTTCCTATCAACTGATTGGACTAAAGTGTTCAGACTCAGTGGGAACACCATCAACACTCCTCCAGCCAGCCGACAAGTCCCACAGTCTGAATTCCATCACTGCTAGTCACCATCTGTCCACCAAATTACTTCGAGTTAATCCTCAGAAATCGTCGAAGCGTCCGTACTAGGTAGGAGCCAATATGCCAACAGTGGCCGGACATTTCAACCTTATTGGTATATACAGAAATAGTTAAAAGAATATTCTACAGACAGGCAAGAAAGGATATTGTAATATTCCTTGAGGTGTAACATTAGCAATACACGTATGTTAAGTCACAATTAAACAATTAAAAATACAGAGAAAATAACGCCCAGCTTCTTATAAGAGTGTCAGTATTCATCAAAGTAACTAAGTCCTACGGTTACAATATACAGTCAAAGGAGTTGAGAACTTTTGTTCTTTGGTATCTAAAACAGGAACTAACACACATAAAAGAAGCCTTAAAACTTAATAATTACCCGGATAAATTAGTCAGGAAATATGTAAAGAAATGTAAAAATAAAATAAATAATGATAGTAGCGATAGTGATAACAATAATAATGATAATGATAATAGTGATAATAATAATAATAATATTAATGACGACACCAACAATAAAGAATCTAAATCATCAGTAGTAATTCCATACAAGGAAGGAACCTCGGAAGCCTTACGCAAAATTCTTAACAAGGCAGGAATAAAAACGGCATTCAAACCCACAAACTCAATTAGAAACAAGCTTTGTCGGTTAAAGGATCCTGTAGAGCCTTTAAAACAAAACAATTTAGTTTATCTAATACCCTGCTGGAATGATTGTCAGGTCAAATACATAGGTCAAACTAGTAGAACAGGGGCAGTCAGACTAGCTGAACATAAAAACTTAGCAAAATCTAGATTGGTTGACCCGAATAAGATAAGAAATCTAGAGAATAATTCAGCTATAGCACTGCATGCAGTCACACACAACCATACAATAGGATGGGATAGGATGACAGTTTTAAAATCTAATGTCACAGGGTATAGGGAGAGATTGATAACAAAAGCTTTGTTTATCGAATCAACTACAAATACATGTAATAGGAATGATTCATCACCTGTCCCCGATATTTGGAAAATTCTACTACCCATACGACAAATGGGGGAGAACAAAGAAAACTATAAAACTCAAGTGTCAAAGTCGTGTGATCACAATTGATATGATTATGAACAATAAATTTTGTTCGAAACGTCATCCAGTAAATAATACTGTTTCACTGTGTGATATACCTAATAAACAAACTAATATGGAATTACTTACTACCACAGTGCCCAAGTTTTACACATATATTCTATTAATTTCACTATTTTTCCATGTGTTTCGAAGTAGTTGATCGTGTCTGCATTTCGATATCTCGAATGGTGATTTCATAAACTTCAAAAAAAATATTATTTAAAGCAATCAGTTCCCTTGATGAATTTCGACAACACAATAAGAAGACGCAGTTTATCTGAAACGCGTAATGTGCATATTTGCGAAACAAATTTCGGACACACACACACACGAGTACTTGTCATACGCAGTTTGTATAGACGGCAAGAAGGCATGAATAATTACAATACAGGTCAGATTGTGTACAGGTCAAGGTCACAAATAATGGGTGGGGAGACGTAAAGGTGTCGGTAAGAAAGATAAAAAGACAAAAAACAAAGCAAAGAAGGGATTGAAAATATTATGAAGTAAATTGAACCTTGGTTCTGAATTGGATTACCAAGGCAGGTTCAAAGTAATAACAAACAACTTTTGGACACATAAAACAGCTTTAAGCCTTTTTGTGACTAAGGCTTCAACGAATTTAAGCACGTGGCCCAACTTTGTTTTACATATGGGCTTAAAGGCATTGTTGAAGTCAACCCGTCGCTATAATGTCCTTCGCTATAGATGATGTTGGACATCTATTTCCGGTGTCGATTGTGTCTGGCGATTTTACTTTTCATTGCAGTCATCTGAAATGTGTTCTCTTGCCCTAACCTGCAGAGACCGATGGGTCCTCCCTATGTACGTGTCTCCACACATACATGAAAACTGATAAACACGGTGGGATGTGACACTATCGTTCGGATAATGTGAGGGTTTACAGGACAGCATAGTTCTCGTTTTCTCTATGAAGATAAGTTTAGCTGCATAATAAGTTCCATTATTTGCAGCGTTGAGTCTTTGTCTAGTGACCAGACTTTGTTGATCACCTCTGAAGAGCGAGGATATGTGAACATCATTTTTGGGCGCTGATTGGATTGATAGAGTTCTATGGTTGACACTTCTATAACACCTAATAAATCTCAGCGGGTAATTGTTATCTAACAATATTTCAGTGAGGTGTTGTCTTTCTTCTTCAATTGTATCGGGAGTACATATACGGTGAATGCGCTTGAACAAACACTTAACCAACGCCTTTTTTATACTGTAGTGGACAGAGACTATGATAATTTAGATAATGTCCCGTCAATGTGGACTTTCTGTAGACAGATCGTTTTACTGACCCATCTTCTCGGCGGGTTATGAGTACATCTAAAACTGGCAGGCAACCATTATTCTCTTCAACGTATGTTAGCGATATACTGTTGTGTTGTACTGTGTTGATCTGGTTTAGGATTTCTATGGCGTCTGTCGGTTTATCACAAACGACTATTATGTCATCTCCATATCTCTTATAAAAATAAACTTTTCCAATTTCTTCCTCCACTAGGTTCTCAACATGGAGGGAGTCTTCTCTTCACAAATTTAAAGTAATTAGTTCCCCTTGCACAATTAAGAAGAAAGATGATCTTATAATCCTCAAGTGCAAAATCTTTTCGGAAGGTGAAAGAC